GCTTGAGAAGAGCCAGAGCAGAACCGTAGATGTCTCTGTCTGCAGAACTGGATTTTGATCGGGGGGGCGGGGGACACTGAGAGAGCATCATTCCTAGTTGTCTTGAAATAGGGACCCATATATAATAACAGTGTCATAATTACACAGGGCACAAGATTTATGAAGTTGACCATCACAAGAGCCCAGTGACCTGTGGTCTGACTTAGCTTTATCTCAGGGAGACCCTGGGAAGAAGTCTGGCGTAATAGACAATATCACAAAAGAAGGATGTGAGCTTGAGTAGCAAATAGTTAAACTGGGCTGGTATGCTGAAGAGCCTCATTGAGGAGTGACTGCAAAACCATGAAGGATACTATTCCTGTGAGCATTGTTGATAAGGTAATAGGCTCTGAGATGGAAGTTTGGCCCATAGGGAGCCACCCTGAAACCAGTATGGTTCCCACATGCTGAGCAAAGAGCAGAGTGGCCTGGGGCTGGGTGCGGCTGCACAGGGGCCAAGGATATTGGGTTTTCTAAGCATTATCATGCCCCATTCCTCTGCCTCTCAAAACCCAACCCTCCACAGGACTTCCTCAGAGCCTTCTCGATGGGTTTCCATGATGAGACTTCCTGCTTCCTACAGCTGGCATCCACAGAGACTTGCCACTTCTGTGACCTTAATAAGTGGCTGAGTTTGAAGACACCCAGGGTCAAGGACACAAACAAGCCTCTGAGGGAGGTGCCTCCAGTCTGCAGGCCTGCCTAGCTCCCTCCACCTCTGTGTACTGGTCTAGCTGCCTCAGACAGAGGGCCAGGCCCCATCTGGTACTCCTTACAGGCTCTTTATATTAGGCACTAGGCCACAAGTCTCAATGATACCCAATGCTGGCCCAGCAAACCAAGGGAGAAAGTCATCCCCTCGGCACCTACCTGAGCTCTGAGGCAAGCAGGATGGAGGGGGGCCTGACATCCCCCATGCTCCTCTGAACAGGGGCTCCTGACTGTGCATACCCCGCCAATAAGAAGGCCCAGATGGAACAACCAGAAATCCCCCCTCCAGGGGCTCGACCACAGTGAAAACTACACTCAGCTCATGTGGGGGGCACATATAAGATGATATCTGACCTTCCTGGTGCAATACTGATGCCCAGCTCTGCTGCTCTGCATTTTACAATACTGGGCATGATACCATATGCTGCCCCATGACCATTAATGTTGGAACAGCACTGGTTTCTTCTAATCTGTGGTTAGACAGATGGGGATGTTGAAGTCCACACTACTGGCCAGGGTTAAATCCTGTGACAGCTTAATTAAAAGGGTCACATCCAGACTCAGGTTCAAATTCAGACCCTTCTTTAAAGAACTTCAGGCAAATATGAGCTGGTTAAGAACTTTGGTAAATACTCTCAGCATGGCAACCATAGCGTGCTCTCTCCCGTTTCCAAGCACATACATACACACCATGGGATGAAGGCCCTGCACACAGGGACACCCGCAACGAGCCACAGGGCTTCAGTTTGCTGTACTCTATGCCCTGTGTCCATCCCCAGCTTGGAAATTCCTGGCCCAGACCCCAAGATCTAGGCAGGCAGTGGTCTTGACTTCATGAATCTACCTGAAATCTCACCACGACCTTCCTAAAGAAAAGGATTTGTGTTTCTCTACATCTCCATCCCTGAGGGTTTCTGGAATCTGCCAACTTGAACTACATGTGGACAACCTTGTAAAACAGGCACCATGCTGGAGAAGCTCCCGTGGACAGTTGGAAGGAAAAACACCAAGGGTGCTATCTGGCTGCAAGCCTTGGGGAAACGACCAGGTTATCCAGGTCCACCTGGTCTCAGCAGCCTCTGCCTCGGGAGGCCTCACACCTGCAGGCTCAGCCTCCAGTGGTACAAGGGCCCAAGGTTTGCAGTTCTGGTTCACTGAAAGAGAACAGCTTCCTCAGGCCAGTCCTAGACACACATCTGAAATTAGGCGAGGGAGGCCCTCTGGCCCTGGCTCCAGCCTTAGGTCACAGGCTGCTCTCTTCCCTGGGAGATTGTACAGACTATTTCAGGCTGATCACTACCAAGCAAAGTGCTCCTCCTGCCCCCTCACTTCCCATCAGGAAGTGAGCACTGTTCTTCTGAAGGAGGAAGTCTGAAAATACCACAGCTGAAGAGGTTTTCCTTCCAGAGCCAGGGGGCCAGCAACAGCACAAGGCCCACCTGCACTGCTGAGGAACCCCGTTCCCACAGCCTCAGCCTGTCTGGCACAGAACGAAGGACCCGATAGCACAAGAGGGATGAGAACAGGATGAGGACATGGGACCTCCCCAACCGAGGGAGGTAAGGTTACAAATACGTGCTGGTATTCAGAACAGTGAACACTTGAAGGCAACCTGAGAGTCCAGCCACAGGCAATGGCTAAGAAATCACCAGCAAGACTAACAGAGCAGGAGGCAGGGCCATGCCTGCCACCTGGAGAGCGTTTCCAGGACAGATCCTTGAACACTAAGAGCAGGTTGTAGAAACGAGCCTGAAGAATGAACACGTTTAATACATATGTGTGCAGGTACATGTGGTGTTCACATGTATATATGTACCCCTGCAGGCATGCATATGTGTCTGCCTAGACATATGGCAAACAGTAGCGATTCTTGTGAGTGGGATGGAGGTATTACAAATGGTCATTGGGGCAAGAGTTGTTGGTTCATGTTACAAACTCTACAATGATTCCTCAGAAATGTGCCTCTCATCAAAAGAATTTAGAAGACCCAGGAGTAAGAGGCTGTGGGCACCTGAGGAATGAGACATGTCACCCCAAGTTTCAGAGAGACAAGGTGGGCACTGTCCTCAGGAAACTGCACTGCCACCAGCACCTCAGCCTTTGAGAACCACATTCCCACAGGGTTTCCATAAAAGTCTCAGGCTATGTGTCTGGAACTTGGTCCTGGGCTTGTGATTGTCCTGGGACACCCTGGGTGCCACTGCATGAGACACTGGAAAGCTTAGTGGCAGTTTGTATGCCACTAAACTGGACAGCCAGCACCAATGTCTCGATAGCGTTCCTCTGAGAGGAGTGGGAGAAAATCTCATGTCAAAAACCTAAAATGACCAGGAAAATAATTAACTAGCTGTAATTACAGACAACCTGTACGCATATTTCTCTTTTACAGGAAACAGTAATAGTCATCTGGTGCTAAGACTGGCTGAAGTCTGTAAAACTGTTCTGGTTGAAGTCTATAGATTTTTGGAGAGAAAATAATAAATACTTTGCCTGTACTCATAAGTTTGTACCTTGCCCAGGGCTACTGTGGCGCAATGGAACTAAAGTGGTTCTTAGGTCTGGGCACATCAAGCAGTCCCTGGCTGGACCCACTTTACCTCCAGCATTCAGTTAGTTAGCTTCTCTACCCCTACCCAGAGCCTTAATTTTTTACTAAAGAATCACAAATAAATCAACTCGGGCCAATAATAGTAAAGAACAGTGGAGCCACTTTGTTTATTAAAGCAGCACTTCCCCAACTCCAGTGTGCACAGGGGTCCTGGGGTGCTTCAGTTATCTGGGTAGGGCTTGAGGTGTATCCGTATGGGCCCTAAACTCAGCTGGCAGGAGATACATCAGTGCCCTGGCTGGTAAGGTCATGATGGATTGTGACAGCTGAGGGTGTTGGTGAAAAGAGGGGAGGACGAGTAGGGTAGTGCCCACTAGAAGCCGCAGCAGATTAAGGAACGTCACTTTGCTGTACCCAAAAGTCAACCTGAGTAGTTTTAACATCTTTGGTGACGAGTCTGTGATAAAACCTGAGTTCGGGAAACAACCAAGAAACTAGGGGTGCCCTATGGATACCCAGTCAACCAAGTGGCAGGGGAGGAACTGCTGTTCTCTGGCCCCTAGGTCTGGACCTGCTTCACTGAACACTCTTCCTACCACATACCCTCACTCTCATCGCCCCAGCCACATACACCTTCTCTCTCTCCCCAGGTTACCTACACTCATTCCTCCTCAGGGTCCCCCATTCTTCTCATGGCTGCTTCCTCTCATCAATAGGACCTCAGCTTAAATGCTACCTCCTCAGAGAGGCTTCTGTGACTATTACAATCTAAGGTGGCCACCCAGCCACACTCAGCTATGTGTTTTGGGATTGTTTGTTACTGCAACAAATCCAGCCTGTCCTGACTGATACAGCGTCACACAATGAAACATGTTGAATGATCAGACAAGAAAAGCAGTAGCTACCCACCAGGAGCATAATCATGCTTATGACTCCTCGATGGGGAGTGAGGATAAAGACAAAGGACACACTACTTAGGTTCATAGTGGGTCTGAGATGATGCTATATAGGGAACACGAGGCTTTAGCAAAGGGAGTTTTACCACCGGGGAAGGAAGACCCAATGCCCTGCAGTGACTGGTCACAGAGACCCCAAGCAATGCCATCCCTGTTGGAGGCGGCAGTCTTGGGAGGCCAGTTACTGTTCCTGGACACTGGGTTCATTCAAAGCTCCCAACACATACACGATATCCAGAAGGGTGCTTGGCACATAAACTATATCAAGAATTTGTTTAAGGAATCAAAGAATATGAATGTAAGGTGCATCCCCTTTTTAAAAAACTTGATTTTATTTTTTGTCCCACTCTCATAAGCACACTAGAAGTAAGAGGCTGAGTTGGCTGACTTTCATTATGCCAGCATGTATTTTATTCAGCTTGCATTCATATTTACTTTTCCTGGGATGAGAGAACTTTCTCAAAGCTAAATCATGTTCCTTGATACTCAGGCTACCCCTACCCAGGACTGGACACATGCTGACAGGACTATGCCAACAGCCTCCACTATGCTTTGAACATTCATCATAGTTATTCCCAAAGACCGAGTTCCTTCTATGGGAATCTGAAGACACCGAATATTGCCAAGTCAACAGGAAGGCCACATGTCTTCTAAGCCAGCAGAGGTATCTAATGCAAACAGAGACGTGGAGGCCCAGGAGACTGTGTGGCACACTGAGATGTCTGCTGTCAGGGGACACATGGTACCTGTAGGTGATTCTCACTTCAGTTCCAGGCTCATCTCGCTCCCAGATCAAAGCGACACTCTCCGGGGACTTCCGAACATGCAGATCCAAGCAGTTGACTGCACAAAAACAGGTTTATGGACATTACACTTGGTGCTTTTAGAATCAAAATCAGGGGAGGGTCTGGTTTACTGTGGCTTACACAACTCTCTGCTGAAGTGGACTCTCACTCGTCAAAGCTGAGGTTTCTACTTCCCCTCAAAAAGAAGGGTGATTGTCAAGAGTATACAAAAATAAGATGATTACTATACAAATATGATCTCACAGTTACAGAGTGATTCCCTGTGAACAGTCTGAAGTAGGTACTTCTTGCCAATAGTTCCAAACCCAGCCACGTGTTGGTGTCTTCCAGGTCATCCCCAGGGACCTTGCCCAATAGGCCCTGACATTTTCAAGGCTCCCTAGGTGGTTCTAATGTGCAGCTGGGGCTGGGCACTGCAGCCTGCAGTGTTGGAAAAACTACTTAATGCTAAAAGGACACCCCTAGTACAATATACAGTTCCTGTGAGGAACATGTGGTAGAGACGCAGGTCAAGGAGCCACAGGTGTCCAGCCAGTGCCCTACAAATCAACCTCTGTTCCAAGGAGTGATGCAACAATTGGGAAATGCCATGCTGATTTTCCAGAAGGCTCTGATCCCCTCCCCCTCTATTAGCCAAGCTCAGGCCACATGAGTGCCCGCAAAAACAGAAGTTCAGTTCTGCCAGTTTACTGTAAACCTGAAGATTAGTAGGATCATGTTCATTTGCTGACATCCTGTTCACTACTCTTCTGATTTCAAGGTGAGCTTAGATCTGGCTGGTTAATGCCAGAGCCCCTTAGAGCCAGCCCTCAAAGCCAGGCTCCCATCACTCACCTCTCCATCAGTAGGGGAAAAGAACACCACAAATAACTGTTGGGAACAGCAGCTATATGCCCACGTGGTCTTCAGTGTCACACCAATGGCTGGGTATATAAATTTGTTTTTCTTTTCAAGGCAGTTACTTACCTCCTTCAAATCAATCTCCTCCTACGTAAATGAGAGCTGCATTATCTATCATGTCTAACTCACAGGGCTATGACCAGAAACAAATGAAAGACAATGTTAAAGAGCCATTATATGAATACAAGGTACTATTACCAACTGGTAAATATCATACTATGAGTTACAGAGACTTTGAAATGGGATAACCATTCTGACAAAAGTTATGGGAGATACCAAAGATCACGTGATTTCCATAATTCTTGAGAGGATGAACGCGCATGAAAAAATTTACATACTTTAATGTATGTGTGTGAATTATATTTTTCTCTCTTGGGTTACTTTATGTGTTATTTATTCTTATAATAAAAAATTTCATTTCAATTTTGTGGCTCCTAATAGGTATATAAATTATACATCAAAAATTTTAATAAAGATAAATGTCACGGAAAAAGTTACTAATACTACCGACACAGAAAAGTTCTTTGAATTATTGTAAAAATAAAAGAGAAGAAATGCTCAAAAAACAGGAGAGGAAAAGCAAGAAGAGAAACTGAAAAGAGGTTCGTGGAAGAACCTGGATTTACACGGTAAACGAGAGAGAGAGAGAGAGAGAGAGAGAGAGAGAGAGAGAGAGAGAGAGAGAGA